CTCTCTCTCGAAAATTTGATAAGGTTTGATAAGATTTTGTTTCCTTTTTTTTCTCTCTCTCGAAAATTTGAGTCGTAGATTTGAAAAAAAATAAACAAATAAAATAAACATATCATATTGATAAAGTTTTAGTGTGGGCATAAAAATCAATTTTGATTTGATTGAACTTTGTTTCATATAAATCTAAGAGAATCAGACATTTGAAAAAATAAAATATTAATAGTAAATAATCATACCATATTTGTAAGGTTTGATTTGGAATATTGAGGCATAAAAATCAATTATGATTTGATCACATTTTGTTTTATAGAAGTTATCTTAGAAAATTTTACACGTTTCAAAAAATTAAAGATTATAATTTTGTAAATTAAAGTTTTGGATTTGTCCAAATAAATAGATCAAAATAAAAATATTATTTTTCAATCTATCCAAAAAGTCTTACCAAATTTCATTGTAACAAACTCCATTATTTTTGGTTACATAATCTTCTAAATATTCGTTCGTCCCTCACAAGTGAATCACGTTCCACATTTTTTTTTAACAAAACCGATAACACATATTTTTAGAAGTCGATCATAATCATAATAAAAAAAATCGGATCGGATCATATTAAATACCTTACGTAAATATTTTTTTTATTTCCTAGACATATGACACATACACATGACTATATAAACATCACCAACGTTGAACAAAAAGTATTCGACATCCAATATATNTTTTTCAATCTATCCAAAAAGTCTTACCAAATTTCATTGTAACAAACTCCATTATTTTTGGCTACATAATCTTCTAAATATTGGTTCGTCCCTCATAAGTGAATCACGTTCCATATTTTTTTTTTAACAAAACCGATAACATATATTTTTAGAAGTCAATCATAATCATAATAAAAAAAATCGGATCGGATCATATTAAATACCTTACGTAAATATTTTTTTATTTCCTAGACATATGGCACATACACATGACTATATAAACATCACCAACGTTGAACAAAAAGTATTCGACATCCAATATATCCCACAAAACAATTTTTTCTACAAGCTTTTACATCACCATTGAAAATGGCTTCGGATTTTGGATTAATCAAGGATATCAAAAGATCCAACAAGCCACCAATCAAGCTACGCATAATTAGGATGTTCGAACGAGTTGAAGACCTACGCAATTACCGAAATGTGCTTGAGATTATCTTTTATGATTTTGAGGTAATATATTCATTTAGTATTATTTAAATGCATCATTTTAT